TGCTTTTAATTGTGCTTAGTACTTTTTAATTGTCTTGTACACACTTTTTTTAAGTCTTAATTTAATTTGTCTTACTCATTTTTGTTAGCCACTAAATTTAATCTATGTATTGATAAATATTAATAATTAATTTAAAATTAATTGTGTACATATTCTTATAATCAATAATTAGTACATTTTTAAGTTGAACTAATATTGATATTTATTAGAATAGATGCATATTATTTTCAATAATTGCACGACTTTGTTTATATAATATAAATTTATTTACTCGATGAAGAAATATTTTTATTTTATTATTATTAATATATTTATTATATTTTAAATCAATTCAATAATTATTTAAAAATATAAATTATTTATATTTCCTAATTAATTATAAGTTTATAATAAAGTATGATGATGTCCTTAAAAGTAATTTTACACGTTAACCGCTAATTAAAATAGCTAATTTTTACCAAACACTATTTACAAACCGCTAACATAATCAGCTGGGTCAAAACAGCTAACACAATTCGCTGGTCAAAACAGTTAATGCAATCCGCTAACAGCTAACAGCTAACCCAAACAAGGCCAATAGATAAAAGATATAAGATTTCATTGAAACATGAAAGTCCATATTCCTCAAGGAGAGCAATGCACTATTTTCTAATTTATTTGGTCTCTAAATAGCAATTTAAGTTTACACAAACATCAAAAGATTTCACAGAGGATTGGTTAATTGTTTTTGCTCGTTATGAATGTTAGTTGCAAACCAAACATAGATAACATACATTACTAAAATTCATATCATATCATATATTTTAGACAAATTACATAGTGTTATAAAACTAGAGAGAAAGAAAGAAAATAGAAAAAATGTTTCTCTTAGGTACCATTTTCATTATAACTGAAGCTCCTATTTATAGGAAACTTCTGATGGCACAACCGTAATAATACAATTACATCTGGGACAATATAGTCATTCACATATATTATTTTATAATAAATATTTCATAACACTCCCCCTTGAATGCATATTTCTAAACATATTTTAACTGATTAGAACAAAGTCCAATTTGCACATCTTCAAGTATATCTTGTGGCCATCAGGTACCGTTGCTTCAGCATGTCAGGAAAACCAGGTGGGACAAAACCTGATCATCGTGAAATCATAACATTGTTTCCTCAGGAAAACCCGGTGGGACAAAGCCTGATTATTATGGAATCACAACATTTCTCCTCAGGAAAACCCGATGGGACAAAACCTGAGCATTGTGGAAGCACAACATTGCTCCCCTTCAAATATATCATCTTTAATGGAGTATCCACGTGTTGCCTCGTTAAAACCTTGTCAAGAAAACCCAGTGGAAAAAAACTTGATCGAAGGAAAAAGAGTACAGCTACTCCAGTCTTTTCTCATCATCATGAAGAATCATATCAATTATCCAGTAGTCTTCATTATACCATGAATATGTCTCATTAAAACCTTATTAGGAAAAATCCAGTGGGACAAAATCCTAATGAAGGAAAAAGAGTACACTATTCATGTGAATACATCATCCCTGTTGCCTCATTAAAAACCTTGCTAGGAAAACCCAATGGGACAAAACCTCATCCAAGGGAAAAAAGAGTACAACGCGTATTCCATATATTCATCATAATAACCCTTCCATAATTTTCATGAATATCATATAGATTCATTCAGATTTTTCGATACTGGTGGTATTTATGATAATATTCCATATCATGCTTTTGTGCAACTATCATTCTTCAACTCATTCTCATCATCAACCGATTTCAATGGTCTTACTGCCAATAGTTCCCAATATCACATTTCAGCTGATTTCATTCTCATCAATATTATTTATATAGGCCTAATCATTTGTTTGTGTCGGTATATATTCATTTCCATTATTCCCCAATATATTGAGATATCTCATTATCAATTAATTTCATCGATAGTAAATATATGCCACCTTTCATCAATTTGGGGAATTTCAATTTGCACAATACCAACGCTTCCAGCGTATCATATCATTTCATATATTTCACCACCATCAGTATCATTCAGTTTATGATTTGCACACTTTCAGTGTGATGCAGATATCATTTCTAAAATTTCAATAAATTGATTTCCCCCTCATCTTAACAGATCCCTGATCTGTATTTTCAGTATTGAGTTTCTTGAGGGGAATTCATGTAATCTCCATTTCATTCTCGATTTCAACATATAATAGGACTTTGAACTCATACCACTTGTAATGTGCACATTTTTTTTTTTTCATGAGTTCATCATATGAGCTGATTATATTACTAGCTTCATCACTTTCATATGACACTTATTTTCATTCTTTCATAGCCATCTTGTGTCATTCTTTGATCAAACCATCTCGTAACTTCAGGTTACGTGTCCTATACACATTCTTTGATCAAATCATCTCGTAACTTCAGGTTACGGATCACACACATGTGACTATCTAGTGGATCCATAATATCTAGTAGCACACATGGAGGGGTAGTGGGCCCATATATATTGTACCCTTTCATACTCAGTTTGATCAAATATCGATTCACAAATATTTAGATAGTAATAATTTCACCAATCGAGAACAAAACATCTCATATTACAAAGAATCAGTTAATCATGCAAACCATCATCATTTATATCAGTAAACATCACAATAATTCATTGTGACTCATTTATAAAAAACATATCACATCATCTTTCGATGGCAATAAATGCCCTTTAAGTGCAGATTATGACTCACAATATTTAATTTAGAATTGTATCACATGCGTATCATTCCTTCTGTAGCACAGACTCTTTATCTTTAGAGTCGTATAATATACGCATCATTTCTATAAATTGTCAGGCAATCTATTCCATATTTCTGAACAAAGGTCCGAATTTACAAATGAATTTAGCACTTTCAAATATCCGTAAATATTATCCATTTGTTCCAGTAAATATCATAAAAAGGATTTACCAGTCTCGAATAGAAAGATTGAGGATGCTAATGATTAATGATATTCCGGGTGATATTCGATGGTTAATTGAAGCAAAAGTTTATTGTCTGGAGAGTTTCCAAATTCATATAAATATATGTCAGGTATGGGTAAGAGTACTTTTGCAAAGAAACGAAGAGCAAAAAGATTAGGTAGATGCTTCAAATGCGCT